CGGTCATATCGAAGCGTAAAGGTCAACAGTGTTTGTTGATGAGCGAGCGATTATTGTGCAGTTGCGACGGGTTTTGTGGAGCCAGCGAGCAAGAAGCAGGAGCACACGTTACCTGCAGATTAGCCGATGGCAATTTGGAGCGGATTCGTCGATTATTCTCGAATTTATNGAGTGAATATGAAAATTAAACTTCAGAAAATCGTAGGGAATTTATTAGCAAGATTAGATGAGCTTCGAAATCGTACATGAATGGAATGGTCATCTAGAAATTTTTAGCCAAGTCAGAAAGAAAATTCTAGGCAAAATTTGCTTCTCCTGACAGAAAACAATCGTTGGATGCCCATGACCAGAACGGTGAAAAACAACAATAGGTCAAATTGCAGCACACTTTCTTGTACATTTCCTTGCCGTTGATTTGCATGACTGCAAAGTGAAACGTCCACAAAACTTCCTGATTTTCACTTTTAAAGGAGGAAATGTGACACATGTTCTTGTTCACTTTTTCCACTGCAGCTCTTTTCTTTTTCTTAGCTCCGCCATAAAATTCGTATATGTTCGGTGATCCTCGGGGAATTTGGATCTTTTTGAAAATTGCAAGGGCTTCAATATTATTTTCCCGATTGATTGACCTAGAAGCAACAGTACCATCTCTCCCATAGCAAGTGTTGCATTGTTGGGCGGATGCGGTCGCTAAGCTTGAATACTGTATTCACGTCGCGTATTAAACCTGGTAGTTTGCGGTCATATCGAAGCGTAAAGGTCAACAGTGTTTGTTGATGAGCGAGCGATTATTGTGCAGTTGCGACGGGTTTTGTGGAGCCAGCGAGCAAGAAGCAGGAGCACACGTTACCTGCAGATTAGCCGATGGCAATTTGGAGCGGATTCGTCGATTATTCTCGAATTTATAGCGCTTCGCGTGAAGGCGCGTGGAGATGGTCCGTTTGATTTGTAGCTAACCTTAATTCTTCTTTAGTGGATAGTACCTACAATTGCAAAACGCAACAAAATGCCACTTTAACCGGCCAGGACAGACAAACAAAGATACGTTCAGTTAAAGGTATCTTAGCTTTGTTTTGTTATATTTTGACTTTTGGACTTTTTTGGTTCATGGGAGTTTCGACGACTCATCCTGTGGTGAATATTAATATACTCATTTGACACATACAACGTCTGGCCCGCCTGTGATAACACTAGAAACAGAGAATCTCTAGATATTCCTCCAAGTAAGACAAAGTAAGGCCAGCGACGTTTCCTCCATAGAGCAGTCAACATTTGGAACAATTTAGACAAAGACTTTCAACAGTTATCTTTACCATCATTTAAAAAAAAAAGTTGAAAACGCACATGCTAGAGAATTATTTTAATGACCGCTTTTTATAATTTTATTCATTTTTTAATTATAATGTTCTTTGCTCTTTGGTATTGAAAAGCCGCATGGGGAATACTAATAAAAGTATGTATGTAATTTCCCTTGCAGCGATTGTGCTACTCAGTAATGCACTCAGTTTTTATAGTGGAAGGTTTAGGTGGCTCCGTTATTTATGCAGGCGCATTGAGCAATGACGAACTTTTTGTCATAAGTTATTTCTGTTTTTAAAGCGAAGGCTACGAAACTTTGAAAAGAACTACAGATGTCATTCGGCTATAACATGAAATAATACGAATTTGCATAATGGCGTCATTTTACTACTACGACCAGAATCCTTCGGGTTTTTCCTTTCTTGTGCAAATTAGCACCTTTGTTATTTAAACCTCGCTTGGATCACCAGATTTATCTGTGAAAGGAAAAACGAAAAGAATTCTGGCCATAGTAGTAAAATGACGCCATCGCGCAAACGGCCTACACTAAGTTTAACAAAGATAGTATATGCCTTGGATTCCTAGCTAATAGGGGTGACATTTCACACACGCTAACATGAAGGGTAGACGTACGTACGTACGTACGGACGAACGGACGGACGGGCGACTTTGTCGCTACCAAAACTTCTTGGATGCAGAGGGAACCAAATTTTCTTACCCACGGTGCTCCGTTGCGGCGCGAACTCTGCTATTAACCCGGCATTGAGCTCACTTAATTTTAACTGTTCCATTAGACTTGCCTACTGCACGTCGAGATCAAATCTTTTCACGAGCGCGAAACGCGAGCGGTAGATTTAAAGCGAAGGACTCCGAGAAAGTCTACTGATAAATGATTTCTGTGAATTCAAGATAGCCATCAGATTTTAAAAAAAAGTTTCGAAAAGCCTATCCTTTATCCTTTTCCAGACGTTTCTGTTCCAAATCTAATGAAAAAGAATTCCAGTTCTTTGGTTTGGCGCTTGGATACACAGTCTTAATATAATTCTAACAAAACTGACTACTGAATGTACATATTCAGTGGTACAGTATTTTCTTGTAATATAAATAAATGTTATCTCAGTCAAACTCTTTGGTTAAAATGTTGATCACATATAACCGTAACCATCATGTAAGAACCTGCTTAATTTTCCTTGGCTGAACAGGTTGTTATATGTTTGGTTGTTAAAGAGACAAATTTCTGCCGGCAGGTTCTTAAAGCCAAAGCAACTTACACGCGGGTTTTTACTGTAGTACAGAGCGACCACCGCCTGTTGCGCTAGATACCTATAAAGTACTAGACTCTGAGTCAAGATTGGCGTCCCTTGGCCCACACCGCCGCTAATCAGTCCCACCAGGGGACTTGCGCTTGCAACACTCCACCGCGACTTTTAGCATTAAGTTTTTCATGGTTAACGGCAAACGGTAAACCTGAGGACGTCACGTGACCTTGGTCTTGCGGTAGCGTTTTCAGTTTGCACTTCATCCCAAAATGCTTAAAATGGCTTCAGGAAGCTTTATTCATGCTTTATTGTTGTTTTTAAGTCTTTTTCTCCAAATTTCCCATTGGGTGCCCCTGTAACTTAGCGCAACACAAGAGAAATTTAGGAGTAATTTACTACTGCAATGAAAACTTGAACAAAACAACATAACATGGAGGCACTTTCTGGTCCCTGAAATATATTTCCACCTGTGTCCCGTATCACAAATAACTTAGTGCAACACAATAGAATTCGGGAATACGGCAAATATGCATCTCTGAATCCGTTATTTACAAATAATTTCTCAGTAATAATAACTTAAACAAAACAACATACCATGCAGACACTGTGTCGGCTAAAAAGTCTAAAACATTCAGAATATCACACAATCCTGGTGGTGAGCAAACACTGCCTTGCCATTGTAGGTACGCGATATGTAACTGTGACATTTTGAGATCCAATTTGCTCTGTCACATGACATTTTGAAATGTGAGTATAGACCGTAGGGAGTTATGGGTATGCAAAGCTGTGGATCAGTTGCCTCGGAACTAACGAAAAAGAGTGCACACAGATACCGGCTCCCACTGAAAAGCTTGAGTACAAAAAGCCGATATACTCAGGCATAGGCACCATTTCCGAGGTCTGACGCGGGCACTTGAANAATCCTGGTGGTGAGCAAACACTGCCTTGCCATTGTAGGTACGCGATATGTAACTGTGACATTTTGAGATCCAATTTGCTCTGTCACATGACATTTTGAAATGTGAGTATAGACCGTAGGGAGTTATGGGTATGCAAAGCTGTGGATCAGTTGCCTCGGAACTAACGAAAAAGAGTGCACACAGATACCGGCTCCCACTGAAAAGCTTGAGTACAAAAAGCCGATATACTCAGGCATAGGCACCATTTCCGAGGTCTGACGCGGGCACTTGAAAGAAAGTAATAACGATTGAAAATCCAGCGCAGCGTAGTTACCTAATGTTAACTGAAAATTGTAAAATCGACGCTGTTATTTTAACACTCTTAACCGACGTTTCGGCAATGCAGCCTTCTTCAGGGTACAAGACTAAATACCGTTAAAAAGTTCCAGCTTTTTAACGGTAATTAGTCTTGCACCCTGAAGCAGGTGTACTGTGAGCAGTGAGCATCATTTTCGGGCACCGCGTCCAGGCATCAAGTCTGAACACAGCCTAAGCCTCGCTAACATGATTCCATTAAATGGAGCCAATAAAGTTCTTCTACGTAAAATGTGCATAATAAATGTTGTAGTTAAAATTTATCTTGTGTTTTTTTGGGTGTGTCTTTTTTTTCAACGGGCGTAATCAAATAAGTTAATTACTAAGTGGAATATTGTACAATTTGGGGGAGTGTTATTTGTTCGCTAAGGTATAGATACCTTATACAGTGGCGTATCCAGGCCTTCAGATAAGGGGGAGGCCTGGTCAACCAGACCCTGAGATAAGTGGCGGGGGGGGGGCGGTCTCAAAATATTTTTCCCCCCTTCGGGCCTCATTTTGCTCTGTTCGAGGCTCCGACGAAACACGAAAATAAAACAGGAAGAAACTGGGAAGAGGAACAGTCTTTTTCCCGCCACCGCCCCCTTTTCCCGGGAGGACCTTAGATAACAATGACCTCAACCAGGTTGGCGTCCAGCGGTTTTAGTGAAAACAAGGGTTTTGTTGGGGGCCTCAGTCTCGCGGGCTCAAAAAACCTGGTCTAGGTCATTGTTATTAAGGATTTTCTCTTTCCCCAGATGACGCGTTCATATTTTCGCGTGCCTTTCACTCAGGCGTCATTCAACTGTCTGAGAGCCTGGAACAGTCTATCCTCAAACGAGTTGTTGTAGACAAAGAACAGGTTAAAATGAGGGAACAACATTACTTTGGAACGATATCTAGTAAATCTTTACGTCACATGGGGACGTCAACACCAGCAACAAGTTCACCCACTACAAACACTTTCCGGATATTCCGGTCATCACCTGCAAAAATAATAAAATAAAAACAGTTGCCTGCGTGTTGCAATTATAACAAATAAAAGGGATTTTCAGTTGGTTGCTATTAGCAAGAACCAACGTTCCTCAGTATGTGGACTTTATGCAAATGTAGCTGCTTGTTGATAATAAAGTGTATGAAGGTATGAAAGTAACAACCGAAAACATGGTAAGATTTAAAATACGCAACTTCATTTTAACTTACCTAGCATTAAAAATTTTTGAACTACATCCTGCAGAGAAAAAAAAAACGAAATTTAATACAGCGTTGCGTCCGGTCATCGCAAAGGTCAGGGTAAGATTCCAGGTCAAGCCTGAATTTATTCAGGTTGTTTTTCAACCGCTTACGTTATTTGTGCTACTGCGAAGATCATGTTCTCTTTCATAAATGTACAATACTCTTGTAAAGGCCGTGATACAGACGGCTAACGCGTTTAAAAATAGTTCAGTTCATCTTACAAACTAAAAGAGGGTACTGATCACGCATATGGCAGGCAGCGTGGCCGAGTGGTTAGAGCGCCGGACTTGTTATTCGAAGGCCCCGAGTTCAACTCCCCCTCTGACCGCCAGCTGGATTTGTTCAAGGTAGTCTAGAGTTTAAATCCTCGGCCATGCTTGTAAATAGCTAACTGATTTAATTTGCCTCCCACCCGTTGGGATTCTTAACCCTGTTAAGTTCAATTTGAACTATTTGTTTCATAAATTTGCTCGGCCAAACTAGCATTAGGAATTATTTTTTTAATTATTATACTTCAAACTAGTCGATCAAACTGAATTTGCAACTTAGGCGTTGGCCACTGTAAACTGACCCTTTTTAAGAGCCGACGAGTAGATCGTTAGCCCTTCGTCAGCCAAGAGAATCTGATTCGCTCGGACGAGGGGATTAGCACTCATAGTGCAGAATAAGAGGAGTCTAGAAAGTTGTCGGTATGTCCAAAATGGATAAGGAGAGGAAAATGCAGGTGACAAATTTTTCTAACAAAATTCGAAGAACGGATCGAAGGACGTGTTCATGAATCATGTATTGAGAACAAGGCACCTAGCGTCTTTATAACGTAATGAACCTTACCCTTAAATCATCTGCTTTGAAACAGTCGAAAGGTGAGTCTTTGGTTTCTACATCAATCAACAGCGCGTCAAAGTCTTTACCGACCTGAAAATAAAACAAGTACCGTAAATCCTCTATTAACCCCCCCCCCCCCCCAACCCCTTGGGGGCTTATTTATTTCAAACACGTTTAAGGGGAGGGGGGGCTTAATAAGAAAGGGGTCTTGTTTCATTTAACGACGTTGGTGGTATCAGTTCTCCAAAAAGAACAAAAATGCAAAGTGGAAAAACTCAAGTACAAGAAGTTGGAGGTCATTCAACCGAAAAGCGAATCCGAACTTCCAACACGTGAAGAAAGCATCACAGATGAGTCCAAATTAAGTTTACAGTCGTGATTTATTAATACACTCTATCATTTATTAGTGAAGACTAATGAGGAGGAGGGGGAGGGTTTAACACAGAGGGGGGGGGGGGGCGCTTAATAGTGGATTTACGGTATACATGTATACCACAAAACCTTTCACAAACATGCAGAGAGAATTGTAAAAAGGACCATTATAAAGAGAGCATTTAGGATATTTCATTAAGTATATCTTTGTCTTACAGTTTATTATTACTTTTTTACGTATTACTTTGGGAACTACTATTATTGCACGAGCTGATAAACCATTGCTATGTGCCGCATACTGAATTACATTGTGTTACAGTGTATTTCCTGACTGCATTACTAACATTACTTTGCAATGTATACTGAGTACTTTCACGTATTTGAGACCTTTAGATTCTAAGATGAAGGCAAATAAGAGTACGAGATTTTCTCAATACTAAGCAGTGCTAGTGCGTGAACCAGCGTCATTTTGGCGGGAAAACGTGATAGTCGTCGTCATTCTACTAGGAGTTTTAGCGGAAATGTCGTAGTGCCGATAGTAAGTTATCAAATTTTTGCGATCGGCAAAGGGCTAACCTGCGTAGCAAGCGTTTCCGTTTAGTTTCGGAGCAAAGAAAGACCGAGGAACGGGATTCTCGGTTTGGGCCGCGCGAGAAATGAAACAAGAGCCAAAAAATGAAAGTTTCTTCCCCACCCCCTCCCCGCTCTTTTACTTGCGCCATTTTTCGCGCGGTCTTTGACTCTCGTTCCTCGTTCTTTGCTCCTAAACCGCACGGAAACGCTTGCTACGCAGGCTAGCAAAGGGCTGAATTCGAAACTCCTTCAATAAAGATAGAAGTGCTCTGAGTTCTGGCTTTTTTGGTGAAACATAAGTACAAATTATGCAGCTTTCCGGGGTGTCTATTTCTTAACAATACGCGAAAAAACTTAATATTGTATTGGTATGGTATTACATTGTTTTGGTTTGGCATCGGCACAGTATTTTCTTGTTATTCTAACAAAATACGTCAAACTTGACATAAAAGTTTTTACCTCAAAGTTTCCTATCTTTTCATCCAGTCCTAGAACTAAACAAAAAAAGAAAAAACCTCAAAACCTTGTTATTGATTTTTTTCTATGGAAGCACAGAGGCTGCTGTAGGGTTAATATTTTAGGTTTCGTTTTATTCCTAAACAGGGGAAGGGTGTAATAATAATAATAATAATAATAATAATAATAATAATAATAATAATAATAATAATAACAATAATAATAATAATAAACACTTCATTTATATAGCGCCATTTCCACTAATGTGCAATGGCGATTTACAAGAAATGTTAAAAATATTACAAATATTGTTCATAAACTACATTACATTGAAGCAATTAACAAACTAATAAATTGATAAAGAAACGCTTTCACTTAAAACGACTAAAATACAGTCGACTCCCGATAACTCGAACCTTCAAGGGAAATCGAAAAAAGTTTGAGTTATCGGGAGTTCGAGTTATTGGGAGCTCGAAGAAAATAGCTGAGAGTAAGGTAAAAAACAGTTTTTACTGCACAGTGAACATTTTAATCACATTCAGTTATAGAAATGTTAAGTGAAAAATGAAAGATACTTCTAGATTATAAATCAGAACGTAACGTAACAAAACATTGCCTAAACAGAGCATACGTTTTACTGTTTTAGAAGTAAAGCTGTTTCATGTTAAATTTGTGACAAACAACGTAAGCCTCTACTTGTAAACTATATGCCTACAACACGTCAATGGGAAATTCAAAATTCAATGTTTCGGACGCCAGTAGACTGTTTTTTCCCGAGTTTTTAAGGGCTCAAAACATAGCTCGAGTTATCGAGGGTAAAATTATATAGAAATGATCTGAAGGGAAACAAAAATTACTTCGAGTTATCGAGGGTTCGCGTTACCAAGGGTAAAATAACAGTAAATGTGTGACGGAAATCCAGGGGAAATCGATTTTGGTTCGAGTTAGCGCGAGGTTCGAGTTATCGGGAGTCAAAACCCCTTCCTCAAAAGATAAGTCTCTTTAGTTCAGTTTTTCTCAAAATCGTTCGAACTGTCACAAGATCTAATTTCTAGTGGCATATCATTCCACAACTGTGGTGACGTTACTCAAAAAGACCGGGAACCATAGTTGCGCAGATATATATCGGACATCAAGCAGACGACAGCTAGAATGTACCTCGTTACTAGGTCGGACAATTATGAAGCGCCTAATCTATCTAAACATTTAAAGGTGTGTAAGCAATGCCCAAACATGCAGCAGGTATTCCCGGGACCCGGGGGGATAACTTACCCTGACATCCGCCCAGTGTAGCCAGATAAAAAGCTTCTTTAAAGGATAGCGGTGTGTATCCATGGGACTTGTTAAGACTTAGCACGTTAGAAGCCTTGATACAGTCCCGCATAGCAACCAGCATTGATGAAGATTCACCGCCTGATACATCTACAAACAACAACAAAAGCAGGGGGAAATGACGCTGATACCCGGGACCGTTCGTATTTTGAACGAGTTTTTTAGCTCTTTGACGTAACGTGTTAAAATAAATGATTGATTGATTGATTGATTGATTGATTGATTGATTGATTGACCAAAGGCGTAAGGCATGGGGTCCAGATGCGACTCGAGTCCCGACAATTTTTTTTAGCCTTGCTTCGGGATGAAAAATAAAAATAATGATAACCTTTATATAACCTTAGCAGTATTTATGGCACAAAGGCTGGTCGGACAATTAACTAAGACAAAAAGTTCAATTAAAAAAAAAGTGTTCAGAATTCATATTTGTTTCCAGCTGACAGGAAGCAAACCACGTTGGCTTTGCGTTTTCACACTTCTTAACAGCTTTTCACCGATGTACTTGTACACAGGCATCTCTTCGCAAGACCAGGTCAGTATTGGTGGATTTCTACTGATACACAAACTATTGCTGGGTGATCTTTACAGATATAATAACTAAATGGTTACACCACAGCTGTTATACAGTTCACCTGTCCCTAGACCAACTTTCACGTTCTTGTCCAACATGGATCTGACATCAGCAATGCCACTTCTTATACTAAGGCAAGAAAGAAATACAAGCATCAAGCAGTGGCAACGCCTTCAAACTGACAGACCTATTCCATCACGAAACGATTTGCAAACCGTATTTCAACACTTATGTTGCACCTAAGGGAAACCTAATGCAAAATTCCAAGTTCACTATTTTCAAAATGGTAAAGAAAGCCTTCCCTTCCCCACCTTCCCGTAGGAATGTTGTGGCGCTTCTCAAATCGCCTATAGAAGAGCAAAACAAGCCAAGTTTAGTAAGAGTGGGAGGGTGGGGAGAAGGCCAAGATTGTTTTGTTGTCCAAAATACTGCATACCCTATTGAAATTAAAAAAAGTTAAAAAAATAAAAATATAGAGGTAGCACATCCACATAGAGGTTCATTTTCTACCACTCCTGGTCGAACTGGAATATGGAAATTATGGCTTTTGAGGAGAGGGGAAAATCGAAGTAGCCGGAGAAAATGTGTTGGAGCAAGGGAGAGAACCAACAACAGACTCAACCCACACATGGCATCGNGCAAGACCAGGTCAGTATTGGTGGATTTCTACTGATACACAAACTATTGCTGGGTGATCTTTACAGATATAATAACTAAATGGTTACACCACAGCTGTTATACAGTTCACCTGTCCCTAGACCAACTTTCACGTTCTTGTCCAACATGGATCTGACATCAGCAATGCCACTTCTTATACTAAGGCAAGAAAGAAATACAAGCATCAAGCAGTGGCAACGCCTTCAAACTGACAGACCTATTCCATCACGAAACGATTTGCAAACCGTATTTCAACACTTATGTTGCACCTAAGGGAAACCTAATGCAAAATTCCAAGTTCACTATTTTCAAAATGGTAAAGAAAGCCTTCCCTTCCCCACCTTCCCGTAGGAATGTTGTGGCGCTTCTCAAATCGCCTATAGAAGAGCAAAACAAGCCAAGTTTAGTAAGAGTGGGAGGGTGGGGAGAAGGCCAAGATTGTTTTGTTGTCCAAAATACTGCATACCCTATTGAAATTAAAAAAAGTTAAAAAAATAAAAATATAGAGGTAGCACATCCACATAGAGGTTCATTTTCTACCACTCCTGGTCGAACTGGAATATGGAAATTATGGCTTTTGAGGAGAGGGGAAAATCGAAGTAGCCGGAGAAAATGTGTTGGAGCAAGGGAGAGAACCAACAACAGACTCAACCCACACATGGCATCGACGGTGGAATTTGAACTAGCGCCGCATTAGTAAAAGGCAAGTGCTCTCAACTGAACTCGCCATCCCTTGCTCGTAAATTACACGAAAGTGAACCCTATTACGCAAAAGCGTCTCAACATATTTGTCCCTGACTTATCTATCGCCACATGTATATTGGCCCTTGATGACTTTTATAATTCTTTAATTCTCTGCAAAGTGTATCCATGACTTAATAGCACATTTTCACTGCGTCATTTCCAATTAATTGTAAGCAGACAATAATCCGATTTTTAAAAATGCTTCAATAAGAGAAGCATGCACTCACTTGAAGTTGGATGTTGGACAATGTGCAACAGCTGAACACCTTTCTGACAAAAGGTTAAGTTCCTCATCAGAACCGTGGCAGCAATGAGCCATGTACGTCTTTAAAAAAAAAAAACAAGTACTCTTAATCAGAGATGGGAGAAAATACTGTACTCAGACAGTGGTAGATCCAGGGGGTATTCAACAAAGGTTAAAACCTGGGGAGGCTTGGCCCCATGTCCGATCCCTTACCCTTTTATATACCATTTTTGAAGGAAAAGGTAACCCTTTCGTATACCTTATATTGATAAATAGAACCCCTTTCACAAACTTAGTTAACTCTGCATTCCTTTTAACTGCTGTAAATGTACTGTCTATAAAGTATGAATAAATAATAGAACCAGAACATTTTCTTGACTTTCTCACAGCCATAGAATGTGTCTTGTAGTCCTCCTTTTGGCCCTTTTATGGGCCAAAATGACAGATTTCCCCACCCTTTCCTTTCACATACCTTCACTAATCTGAAAAAGGTACCCCTCCGTATAGACCATTATAGGAAGTACCACCATTCCCCCCTTGAGAGTCGATCTAGAACTGAAGTTAAGAGAGGCCTGCTCATCCAGACTTTGAGATAAGAGAGAAAGACTGCTGTCAAAAATAATTTTTCTTGGCCCTGCTGGCCTAGCTTGTGAACAGCAGAAGCATTTCCAGTCGTCGCTTCTCTCGATGACCGGAAATGCGTCTGCTGTTTGCAGGCTATGCTGACCTTGTTTTTGGTCTACAAATACAGGGAGCAGGGTGTTGGTTCATCTACATTAGCCTTCAGAACAGCTGTATTTTTTCACATTTTTAAGGTAGGCAAAGGCAAGCGTGAAGCGAGTGAGGAGTGCCAGACATGCGCATCTGGTGTTCCTCGTTCACTTCACTCATCTGAAAAATGCAAAAAAATAATGCCTGTTCTGCAGGCTAATCTACATCCACCAAGGCCGGAGAACAGTGCCACAATCTCAGACCCACCACGACCTAAGCCTGCAGAACGCAAGTACCATGTCAAGAAGATGACGAAGAAATAATAAAAAAAAATTCATGCCTGAATACTAACCTTGTTGTTTAGCAAGTTATGTTTATCATAAACTGCAGTATAGCTGTAACCTGGATAGTCCTTTTCAACCAGGGCTATTTCATTCTTTGATTCATTCAAATGACTCTAAAATACAAAATTGTGGTAATCAAAGTAATAATGTTGAAACTGCACTTTCACATAACATTTTGCTGAAAACAGGGGATGGGAAGCACAGAGGTAGCCAAATTTATGCTATCTGATAGAGATGGGTGAGGAGAGTAAACTGTATTTCCTCGGGTAAGTAACAATGCTCTAATAAGCACCCGCCTTTTAGGCCATAATATCAAAAAGCACCCCCTTTCAAATAAGTGTCCCCTCTGGTCCCCCTCACCATTTTAAATAGTAAGGATACAAGGGGAATACAAAGATGTGCATATCATTGAAGAGGATAATAGGAGTGGCGAATGGTACCTCAAAAAAATGTGGGTCTTGGAAAATTTTGGCAGGATCTCGAAATCTCGGAAGCGTTCTTGATAAGTCTTGAAGTCTCATTTTTTCATGGTTTGTTTTTTTTTTTGAGTCTCAAAACTTTTCACCAAAGAGTCTCAGGCTCGGATTTCTAACTAGGATCTCGGCATCTCGGCAAGTCTTGGATTTTACCATTTGCCACCCATGATAATCTCCAGGATGATAAAATAATCAATATAGGCAAGTTGCCCTAAGCTTCTATTTCAAAGCCAGGCTAAGTGTGATATTTGCCATTGATATAATCTTACTTTTCAGAAGGCAATTAGCAGTTCTTGAGAGGTCAAGAGGCATAAAGCCTCTCTTTAGTCTAATAACATTTTGTTTTAGAAAATGTACCTGTATGGGAACATCATACTTCTTAGCTATGTGTCCTAACTTCTTCAGCAGATGTGAGGTGCATGACAGAACAAACCTTGGAGTAACCACTGGTGTGATAAGAGGATTCTGCCAAAAAAAAGAAAAACAACCACAATTTGAACCCACGAATCAAGCCAAACAATGTACATAGATTGAAATATTGTTCCACATGAGTGGGTGTATGGTCCTGAATATTTACAACTGTTGTTGATAGTGACTGACTTAATTTTGACAACCTGTGTGGTGGTGATAGTCACAACCAAAGTAAGTTTTGTATCACTATTTAATGGTATTTAACTCTGGCTACATTGACTTGATTGGGTTTGAAATTATTGGTCATTGGTCAGTTAAGCCAAGATGTTATTGGCTGCAGTGTTTCCAATGCAATAAATGGAAATCATCAGAGACAGACAAAAGTATATATTCGACAAAAGCTGATGGAATAGTCATTTCTCCTGGTCTAACCTATGTACTTCTTGTTTTATTAACTAAGTATCCAACTGCACTTTTTTAAAGTCATGCGGTTGAGATTTTTCTAATCCTATTACTTTCCTTTCATAGATTTGCTCAAGTAAGGCAAACTTTACTTGCCCATTTACTGATCAGTAGTACCTTAAGTTCCAGTACATGCTTGACAAACCTGTCAAAAGAAACAAAAAGATTGCACTGCATATGGATTACATGAAAGTTTTAAGTCTAACTAGCAAAAACTACATACAGTTGTATATAAATAGGATACATTCAAGGAATGCAATTGCTAAGATGGATGGCTGCGATAAAATTTTGTCTCATGTGGAAATCATATTTTCAAAAAAAACAATTTGGTGAACAATACAAATGAATCTTCCACAGTGAATCAAAACATGGTGAGTCAGCAGATTAACCAAATTTGCACCCCCTTTAATATTAAAATAAAATAATAATTAATACTCCTTTAAAATAATTACCAACCAAACCCATGAATGACCACACCACTAGAGTCTGCACCCCCAACCGTGTGCTCTTAAATATTGACAGGGGTGTGAGTTCTTTGATGTCCTGTTTATGCAGATATGCAGTCAATTCGAGATGTGCCCTCCTAATCTCCACTAACACAAAGCTCTCTTGCAGCAAAATACTCCCAGTTCATGTTTAGCTCTGTTAACAGTTCTCACAACATGCATGTTAAAAACTGGGTGGTGGCCATAGGTTTGACAAATGAACATGAGGACAGGGATGCCTAACTATTCACAGATGTCTGCAGGGCAGAGGCAGCACATTTCATCAAGTGACGGTCCAGCCAGGAAATCAAACCTTAGCCTACTGTTTCAAACTCTGGTATGCGATCAGTTGAGCTAACCAGGTAGTAGTAAACTTTGATCATACCTTTCTGCATCTTTTATAGACTGTTCTGTTTCTTCAATGTAGTAGTCAGGACTGTTTCTATCCATGCACACTTTGCCTATATAGCAGCGCTGACCAAGTTCAGCTGGAAGAGAGAAAAGGACAGTGTTTATAAGCTGAAAAATTGGTTCTATTCTTAGTTAGACATTTACAGTCAGACTACAGCAAAAAACCTGTCACTGAGAACCTACAGGTTCTTACATAAATGGCAATTTATTAGTTCAGATTTAGGCTATTTAGGTTCTGAAATAGGTTCTTATTTTCTGAAGAAAAAATACAATGCAGCTAAGAGTATTAAGTAGTATATTCAGCTTATTCCTTATAAAATCTGCTACCGAATACATTTCAGTTGGAGTGATAATTAAGGCACCTGACATGTCTCCAATAAGGATCCTGAATGTTGACTTACCTTACTTGCCCTATTGCTCAGAATTTTTACTATAGATTTTAGAAAATAAGAACCCATTTTAAATTTTAGGCTAAACAGGTTTTTGTATGGAGGGGACCTAACTGGCAAATTTTAGCCTAACAGGTTCTTAAAAACTAAGTTCTTAGCCGGGGATTTTTAATGTACCTAAATTCCACAAATCGTGATCAATACCAAAAAAATTGGTAAGGTACTTGAATAATTTATGTTTTTCTTTTATTTCTGTCAAATTTCCTAAAAGTACACAACCTTGGGACCAGAAAAAGTGTTTTATGAGAGCTGTCCTCTTGCAGCAGATGTCTGTTGGTGGAGATTCTACTGTCTATTCACTGTATGTATGCATTCAAAGCAATATTTGACTGGATACTAAAATGATGTTGACTGTTCAGGTACTCTAATGGCCTGAATTAAGCATAAAAGAGGTTTGAGGCTCAAACTGTGATTTTATGATTGTCTCTGAATATCTTTCTTGTTTGTTAGAATTTTTTTCTACAATATGACCCTCTATCAATACAGCCTTGGTCATTTTTCCTACTCAACATAATATAATACCAGAAAGCAAAACTTCCTTGTTGATACACATAGGCACCCCCTCCCCTTTTTCATTTAGGTCACAACTGGTGCTGAGTTCTAGCCCTGGAGAAAGTACCCACTTTGACACACTGTGCTGAGAATTGTGTTGGGGCGCCAAAAAGAATCAAATCAAGATTGCTGGGTATGACTACCTGTAAGTTCTTTTTGTGGGTCTGGAAAAATATACAGTCAACTCTCTCTAAGACGGACACCTTTGGGACCGGTACTAAGTGTCCATCTTAGAGAGGTGTCCGTGTTATAAAGAGTCAAATAAAAGGAGTAAAGAAAGGCAGGGACCAACTCTAAGTGTCCATTTTACAGAGGTGTCCGTCTTATAGAGGTGTCCGTTAAGAAAGAGTCAACTGTATCCCTCTTAATTCTGCTGTGAATATTATTTAGTAAGAATGTCATCTCCCTATGAGCCATACCATACGCAGTGTTAACTCTCCACTTTTATACCAAATAAACAATACAAAATAATCTTGCTTCACTTACCAACAATATCACAAAGAATCTCTGAAGCTTCATAATGAATGGTTGCAAAATATGATGCAGTTGTTGTGCCATTCTTTAGGAGTCTTCTCTACAAAAAATCACAAAAATTAAATTACTGCAAATTTTGATGAGACACACTAACCCCAAGAAGGTTCTTAATATGCCCTATGAAAAGACAGTATCATGGGGCAAAATAATAAAAAATTATTATAGAAATATTTTTTGCTTCTTTTTAGATTAGACATGGTACAGCATGCAGGTGAATAGTACAGTCGACTCCTGATAATTTGAACCTTCATGATTGAAATTCAAGTTAGAGCAAGGTTCGAGTTAGCAAGGGTGCGAGTTATCGGGAGTCAACTGTAATTATTATTACAGTACAGTACGGTACATTATATAAATAGGGTCTTGCTATTTAGTATCAAAACTAAAAAGTGTTGGAATATGGGTAGAATGCAAATAAAGGTCAGATTATTTGGAGATTATATTGCCTCTGTGATAAATCTAAAATATCCTGCACGGACCAACAAAACAAAACACCTTTTTTTACAAATTCTAAGATGGGAAATATTGTGCGGCCAGCCTGTTGCTAGTCCTGTAAGCTGCAGGTTCTTACTTTTGAGTCTGTATATCAGTATTTTTACATTATTTGGAATTTTTGTCTAATTTTGACTTTAACTTCTTCTGGGATCAGTAAAAGGGTTAATTTATACTCACTCACCACAACCTTGCGGTAAGCCACTTGGGCAAACTCAACATTTCGAAATCGTGATTCTGATGGAAATGTATATTTTTCAAGCCAATCCAGAAGAGGTAAGTCATAACCAGTACCCGTGAATACATATTGCGGAGCATGAATATGAGTATCAACAAATCCTGGCATCAAAAATTGTCTGCACAAAAAAAGATAAGATTCAGGTGATGTTAAATGCACTGGATTTCCAAGGGGAAAGTGTGTTGTAGGCAAAACATGTTCCCCATTTAAAGTAGATTACTTCACAGCGTGCAAAGAAAGTAGTTCCGATATCCCGGGGCTAGTGGATTTTGCTATTGGGCTAGTGAATTCTGTTATTAACTTGCCCGACGGGCAAGTGAAGTTTTTTGAGGAATTCAAATTACAGATTATATTGGACTAGGACTTGGAACCGTGAACCAGAACCTTGGACTGTGAAATCAATCTGCTCATCAAAAAGTTTCTGGGGCTAGTTGAAATGATGTTTGGGCTAGTAAAATTAATGTTAGCTTCAGCTTGCCCAAATGGCAAGCTGTAAAAATGATTTTCTTTGCACCCTGCTTCAAGATTTTTACTGGAGCAAATCAATAAATTTGTTGCCTCTAAGCTGGTTTGATTTTCGCCAGGACAAACCCAAGTTGCCATATCAGGATTCCCTTTTCTCCCCCTCCTAGTCTGTCTGTATAATGGATGTAAGTACAGATGTATGGATGGACATACATGCGTAAGGTGAGGTCATAACCAAATCGATATAGGCTTCCAATAATTTCTATAGCAATGGGGCTAACATGCCATGGCACTTTGCAATGTATTTAGAATGTGTCAATGCATTTTATGTCTGCTACTGGAGACGGGACCACCATTTTACTCTGTCATCCAAGCCTTGTTAAGGTCCAGCCACAGTAAAACTGACTTCTTTGCCTTTCCTCAAAACAATGAGGGGTGACAAATGGTAAAATCCGAGTCTCGCTGAGATGCCGAGATCCTAGTTAGAAATCCGAGCCCGAGACTCTTTGGTAAAACGTTTCGAGACTCGAAAAAAGTAAAAACGCACCATGCAAAAACGAGACTTCGAGACTTATCAGAAACGCCTCTGAGATTTCAGGATCCTGCCAAAATTTTCCAAGACCCACGTTTTTCTAGGTACCTTTTCGCCACCCCTACAATGTTTATAATTTTGAGCCAGAAAGGTTCTTTTTTGGTACATTATCCTTGCTAGGGGGAGGTGGGGAGATCAAGGGATGAACCCAAAGCTGATTAAGAGCAGAGTCATGAGTAATACTTACACTGTACACTTTCC